TCATCCATGCACCCGAAAATGAGAAAAAAAGACATCTGTGTCAGGCAGCCTTCATAGGAGATGGCTCTGCTCTGAGTCTGGATGCCCACAATCATGTTTGGGACCGTGGTGGAGATGAAACCAATATCAGCCAAGGACAGGTTGGCGAGGAAGAGGTACATGGGGGTGTGGAGGTGGGGGTCAGAGCTGACAGCCAGGATGATGAGCAGGTTCCCAAGCACCGTGACCAGGTACATGGACAGGAACAGTCCAAAGAGGACGTGCTGCAGTTCTGGGTCCTCTGAGAGTGCCATGAGATAGAATTCTGAGGCAAGTGTTAGATTTTTCATATCAGTTTTGCTTGGGCACCTTTTGAAAAAGAAAAATGTGTTGGAAAAAGGAAACCAATAAATACATGCAAGCATCAACACAATGTTACCCATTACATTAGCCTAGAATATTTAAACACCACGCATATGTTTGTCCTGTGGATATAAGTAAAAGTGAGATTCAGGGTGGTATATTCCCATATGCAGGAAGGAGAGCTCGGTCTGGCTCAGTCCCTGGCTCCTCCTTTTCCCAGTCCTTCCTTTCTCCCCCTCAATCCCTTCCTCTACTCTCTGATACCTCTTATATTTTCATGGAATTCCTTCCCTCCATATTTTCTTTCTTTTTTAACTTATTTTGGTACACTAAATTTGATCATTTACATCAGAAAGCATTATGCACTACTTATTTCCCCTGAGTTTTTCTGCTTCTCATGCATTCTATTTCCCCTCCTCTGTGAATTGAGTCCTCACTCAAATTTTGTATGTATTCCAAAACTAATGTAATAGATAGCTTGAATCATTATTCGTGTTGGACTCTAATTTTGATTAATATGTTTAAGATGAATGTACATAACCAATATCATCAGCCTTAAGGCACATTGCCCCGTCAATGATTCACTGCTAATGAAATATTAGCACTTTTGAATTTTCTTGTTGTGTATGTTTATTTGTGCCAACTCTATATGTCTTCCCTCAAATATCTACTAAAGAAATCTACTCCTTGCTTTCTAAAAACTTTATGTGGCTTAGGTACATTGCTTCTTTGTTATTCTGATCATAAACCCTTATACATATGTTTGAGGACTTTAGCATTAGGGAACACACAGAACCAAAGTTTGGGTATGATACTTCTAATACCACTTAGTAGATTTTCATATCAATATTTCCTGGTAAATGGATTATAATTCTTTCACATCCGCTACTTGAAGGCAACTCAGGTTCATTCCTTTATCAATTCACACTGTCATTTAATTGGGAAAAATGCAACAGAAAAATGTAGGAAATTATTCAAACACATCTGGACCATTTAGTCACATCTAGACTGGAGAAAATCATTACATAGCTTATGTGTTATTTTTGAAATGCTTTAAAATATTTTTTTAAATCACATGAGGGAGCACTTTTCGGTCTCATTTATATTTACTTGTGAATATTTTGAAATACCAAGATGCCCTGGTACTGGATTAAAATCAGTTTGATTATAATATCAGCTGGTGAAGCTCTTGGTCATCCTGTCTTATACCAGGGTTGTAAATCACAGCCCTAGAATATTTGCTGGCTTTCTGAAAATGTCCTATTAGTAGTATTTTCTATGACTACTAACAGTAACTACTACCCATATTAAAAATAAACATTTAGTAATATGTGCTTCAAACCAATATTTTACCAGGATTTAATTTATTACATATGAAATGTGGTTCTTACTATCTCTACATGATTCCATTTTCTGTATACCTATTACCCCAAAGAAACTGCTCCCATAAATTCAGAGGGTACATTTTTGTCAATATTTTCATGTTAGTTTTAATTTCAATATCCACTTGCATTTTCTTTAAGACTTATCTGAAAAAAAAACAATGTTCATTCAAGCCATCTACAACATATTATTGCCCATGAAATTTAGAAGTTTAGATCAACATGTGAAGCAAATTCCTTAACCTCAAAAGCCTTAGCTGATGCACACCATTACCTGAAGGATAACAATTAATTTGTCAATTTATTTTTATGACCAGCTTTCCAAAATCTTGTGCCTGAGTCCATATCATACAAATGAGGATTTCCGCATAATATGTGGGTGGCAGACAGTTTTTTGAATTCCAGTAATTGATATGCATTCCAGGTGTTCTATTAATCAGGAATATTTTTTGGTTAAATAAAAACTGGTCCTCATCAAACACAATTTACTGTGGTTAAGATGTACTGTTCAAAAATATTCCTGAGGTATGACTAGTATGAGCCCCTGCATAATTACTAAGATATTTCCTCTTGTATAGGAGAGATATTTCCAGTGGGATCCAGTAAAGAATACAGCGGTTTTGGGATAAGAGTTAGAAAATCCACACTTTAGTTCCATATCATTAACCTTTGCCTGTGAGCTCAGCCATCCTGTCTATGATGGAAGCAGCTGGGGCCAACCACTGCTGACCTGGATGATCCACCAGGAACCTTAATTCAAAGAGCACAGGGAGTATCAGGGATTTTTCTTAGTATTTGAAATAGCTGTGTGGGTTGTTATAAGGAAAACCTTCCAAGAGTATTCTGGGTAAATGCTTGTTGTCTGTGATACTTAGCTCAATTCAATCATGGCTTCATTATCTTACATCTAAACACAAATTATGAAATTACATAAAAATGCTGTCTTTTCATTTTGATAAAATAATAATGTTGGTGGAGCTTCTGAGTTGCAGAAAACTGTGTACATGAAATGAAACATGCTACACGGAACATAGAGATCAGAGACTCCCTTTAGGAAACTGTCAGTATCAGTTCATGATACGATTATTGCCAATCTCTTCCCCTCATCACCTTCATAAACCATTAGAAATGTTTAGGAAAAAGTTCACAGGACCCAATTGCTACTTCCACACATAGAACCGGTGTGCAAGGAAATCAAAAGGTTGAATGAGATTTTTTGGCACCTCCCCCACTGCCAGGTACATAAACTTCAAAGTTAAAGTAGCTGATATTCTACATATTTTTATTTTCGCATCTATCTACCCCACACTGTAATGTTGTCTTAATGATGGGGAAAGATCACTCCAGAGAGTCCTTCCTCCATCCATCCTCTCCCCCAGCACTTACTGGGTAGTGCTGAGTCTATGCTGAGTCATGACAAAGAGAATCCAATGCCCCTCCTCTGCCTGGTACCCAGCGGAGGCCTCAGGCTCCGTGCCCAGGATTGATATGAATACGGTGATAAATACGAGCTTCCTGGTGCAGAAAACCCTGGAGGATCAGACCCAGGTATGAAGTCAACTGGACTGGAGCCATTGAACTGAAGAACTGAAGACATAGGGTGACTATTACTATTTATTATATGACCTTAGGGCTCCATGCACAGGGCTCATAATTAGTCAAATTATTCCATGTTTTCTAAATCTCCAAGCACTTCTTAATACAAGTGAAGTAAGAAACAGAAGAGAAAATGAACGTCCACAAATATTTTGGGTATCTTCCTAGGAGATGGATGTTTCCTAATTACATGTTTTCTTTCTTTTATTATGATTCATCTACTTTCATTTAAATTATATTGTGGTAAATATGCATAACAAAAACTTACCATTTTAATCATTGCTAAATGCACAGTTGAGTGGCATTAATTACATTCATATCATTATAAGACCATAGCAATCATTCATTTCCAGAATTCTGCATTTTTCTAAACTGAACCTTTATACTCACTTAAAAACTCTTCACTCCTCCTGCCTCATGTCTCTGGTAACCACCATTTTACTGTGAAATATAATACAGGAGAAAAGTCATAAAATTATAAAAAAATAATGGTCCAAGTAGACAGAATTTACATGTTTAAATTCATCCCTGCTGTGTTTTCTAGCTTACATTCCAAATGAATGCACCAGTCCTGAGATTAGACCATCCTGCTGTGCATCCAGGCACTTTAAAATGTCCCTGTTCCTCAGGCTGTAGATGAAGGGTTTCAGCATGGGGGTGACCACTGTGTATATCATTGAGGTCACCTCAGCCTTTCTGGGAGAAGATAATACAGCTAAATCAAAGTATACTCCAAGGCCTGTTGCATAAAATAAAATGATGAACAATGGAGAGTTGAGACCCTCAGTTTTTTCCCCCCTCTGTTGTTCTGATGATGGGATCATCTGAATGGAGGAAACAATTTTAGAGTAAGGGAAAAGGATTATGGACATGGGAAGATATCCAGAGACAGCATCATCAAAAACACACAAAAGTGTTATCAGTAAAGATGTCAGAACTGGGAAGACTGAAAGTTGAGAAGGGTTATGGAAGAAATTAGAAATTTCTACATGTTAAAAGCAGGGAGATTACAATGCAATTCATTCATGCTGCTTAAAATATGTGACCCTAAAATTAAGAAAACACAGAGGCATGAATTCATAGTAGGCTGGAAATGCAGTTGGTCATATTTGGAAAGGACATTACAGTCAGAAGGCTATCATCCATGCCTCCAAAATGATAAAAAGAGACATCTGGAGATGACTCTGCTGTGAGTTAGGATGTTCACCAGCATCTTTGGGACCGTAGTGGAGATGAAACCAATGTCAGCCAAGGACAGGTTGGAGAGGAAGAAGTACATGGGGGTGTGGAGGTGGGAGTCAGAGCTGACAGCCAGAATGATGAGCAGGTTCCCAAGCACTGTGACCAGGTACATGGACAGGAACAGTCCAAAGAAGACGGGCTGCAGGTCTGGGTCCTCTGTGAGGCCCAGGAGGAGGGATTCTGAGACACCTGTTAGTTTTGTGTTTCTTCATAATTCTAACAACTAATTCTCAGACTCTGCACTTGATGCACTAAACTTTTTCATTGCTTTCAACCCTCAACATTTTAAAGCTAAGGTCCAAAATTCTAAATCACAGGTATGTCCAGTGAGAAGTTCTAAATTCTAAATTCCAATTTTGAGTAGGAATGTTGCAAAAATCCTGCCTGTAATGTCTTTTTCTTTAATTTTGAGTGGGCTGCTGTAAGAATGGAGGGGTATGAGGACCACGGTGAGGTTGTCCTGGAGTAGCAGAAAGAGCAATGAGTGCTGCTCACTGCTTATCTTCTCTGTCTGTAGTCGTAGCCTGGAATTTATTTCTGTCATTGCTATAGTTGACTCAGAAGGTACCAACCGCTTCTGTCCCTTTTGGTGTACCAGTAATCCCAAAAGAGAAGGACACAATGAGAAAGGGATTTTTTTATGGAGAAAGAGGCAAGTGAAATTGCTGGCTGGGTTGTCCAGTGGGCAATATCCAGTATTCTCCTGTCAGGATGCCCTGTATCAATAATCAGACACACCAGCATGGCTTTTCTATTTTCTAGCAGACTACCTAGTATTCGCTACATAAAAATGTGGTGATTCTTTCTTTCATGGATGATGATTTATGCTGATGCTGCTGCTGCTGCTGCTGCTGATGATGATGGTGTTGATGATTATAATATAACATAGAAGCTGAAATGTTAGATTATGTGGATGAAATGATGCAAGATACAAAGAACACATTTCTGATACTGACATTTAGGTATCCCTCAATATTTATCCATAGTATTGTGGGCACTCTTCTCTTTCTCCTTGGCCTCATTTTCATAATCTTTTTACAGTAATTGGGAAACAGTTTACAGGAACCCATATTCTGCCATCATGGATGAGATGTCTAAGAGAAATAGAAGTGTGAAAGGAAATGGAAACATTGAATGAGATTCTTAGGACTCCAAACATAACCAAATACCCATATCCACACAACTCATAACAGCTGAAACTTTGCATACTGGTGTCTTCCCATCTCAATGCCTAAACTTCATGTTACTCCTTATGACTAAAACAATGGTTCTGACAGCCTTTCTCCATTCATCATCAACTGGGCACTGAATGAGTTGTGATACTTCTCTGCTGGGCCATGGACACGAACTGTGATTCCGACATCCACCCGGTGACAAGTGCCTAATGAAGGCTCAGCCTCCATCTTAACAATTGACTTGAATATAGGGACAGACAGGAGCTTTCTGATATAGAAAACTATGGCTGAAGAGACACAGGTATGGAGTGAAGTCGACTGAAATCTTCAAACTACAAGGAAGCAGGCAAAGCTAACTTTTTACTATCATATGAGCTTGGGGGCTCAGGAACTCACAATCTGTCAAATTGAGCCACAATATTGAAATGTATAAAGGACTTTCTCATAATAGTGGAGGAGAGAAATGAATATCTACAGTAGGTTTTTGGCTCTTCCTACACTCTACAGTACACTTGTGTGTACTTTCCACTGTTTATTTTGTGTAGATTTTAAAAATGATTAGAGCATAATAATTACACAGAGTAGTTGAATTCATTTTGACAAAATCTTTCATGCATGGAATCTGTTTGCTCCATTTCAGTTCCTGTCCTCGCCTTTTCCCTCCCCTCTTCTCCCCTATTATCCTTCCTGTATTTTACTGATTTTCCTTTCACTCATGTTGAAGTGCAGAGTTGGGTGGCATTAATTGCATCCACTCTTTCATGCAAACATCACCATCAACAATCTCCAGATATTTTTCATCTTCCCAAACTGAAACTTTGTACCCATTTAAAAAAACACTTCCCAATCCTCCTTCTCCTAGCCCAGGAAAACACCATTCTACTAAGAAACATGATGAAGAAATAAAATCATCAAACTACAAAAATAATGTTATCACAATGAGGCATAAGTTACATGGAAATCTAGATGTTTAGCATTGCTGCTTTTTCCAATGCATGTTCCAAATGAAAGCTGCATGCCCGAAATTACACTGTCCTGCTGTGCACCCTCCACAGAGCATTATTAATTTCCCTGTTCCTCAGGCTGTAGATAAAAGGATTCAGCATAGGAACGACCACAGCATACATCAGTGAGAACACAGCAATCTTTCTGGGCGATTGTGATACAGTAGAAGCAAGGTACACTCCAACCGCTGTTCCATAAAATAAACAAACAACTGCCAGGTGAGACCCACAGGTGGAGAAGGCTTTGTACTTCCCACTTGATGATGGGATTCTAAGAACAGAGGAAACAATTTTGTAGTATGAGTAAAAGATCCCTGAGAGAGGAAGGAATCCTGAGATGGCACCCACAAAATACATGATTGCATTTTTGGTAAAGGTATCAGAACAAGAAAGATTCAGTACTTGAGAAGCCTCACAAAAGAAATTAAAAATTTCCACATCTTTAAAGTAGGCAAAGTGTAAGACAATCAAATTGTGGAGCTGGGATTCCAAAAGGCTAAACAAAACAGACACCAAAACTAAGAAGCCACAGAGGCGAGGGTTCATGATGACTGAGTATTGCAGGGGGTGACAGATGGCCACAAACCGGTCATAGGCCATCACAGTCAGAAGCATGTCATCCATACATCCAAAAATGATAAAAATGGACATCTGTGTCAGGCAGCCCACATAGGAAATGGCTCTGCTGTGAGTTTGGATGTTCATGAGCATCTTTGGGACTGTAGTGGAGATGAAGCAGATGTCAGCCAAGGACAGGTTGGAGAGGAAGAAGTACATGGGGGTGTGGAGGTGGGAGTCAGAGCTGACAGCCAGGATGATGAGCAGGTTCCCAAGCACCCCAACCAGGTACATGGACAGTAGCAGTCCAAAGAGGATGGGCTGCAGGTCTGGGTCCTCTGAGAGTGCCAGGAGATGGAATTCTGATACAGATGTTAGGTTTTTCAGTTTAATTTTGCTTGGGCACCTTTTGAAAAAAAAAAAAGAGTATTGGACAAAAACAATAAGCAGAGACACCAAGTATTCAAACAATAATGCAAATTCCTTTAGCTTAGAATATTTAAAACACTAGATAAGGCCTAGGATGGCATTATCTGAACACGCAGCTAAAGCTGATAGTTCATATCAGAAAGCAGTCACGTAGCCAATGACCATGAACACAGCATTTGTGGGCACTGCATTGATAAATGACGACACTGCACCAATATGCTAAGAAACACTTTCAAAATTTTTATTTTATGTAGGTTGATTTGTACCACAAAATTACAGTAACATGTCTAGCAAAGAAAGTCAGTTTTTCTATTTCCCCTCCCCTGCTGTGGCCTGGGGATATTAATTCACTGCCTTTCCCGTAATCTCTCATAGATACAGTTGAAGACTACAACGTTGGGGAAGAACTTGAAACTCAAGTTTGATTCAAGCCCTTTTAAAAAATGTCATTTAATAGATTTTCACATTAATATTTTCTGGTGCCTGGATTCTAATTCTCTTAACTGAACTACTTGAATACAATTCAGTGTTCTTATGTTTTCAGATCATACAGATTTAACTTGGAAAATAAATGGGAAAAAAATCTTGAAATAACATAAGCATAACTGGGCCATCATTTCCTCATTTGTAGAATGGAAAAATCATTACTTTTCTTATAAATGCTATTGTAAAAATACTTAAGGCTTTTTAAAATACCAAATACTAGTGGTCCTCAGTCTGATTTGTGATACAACTGGCCTATAAATATTTAAAAATATTAGCATCCCTGGCATTGGTTTAAAGACAATTTGAAATTAGTGTGATCCTTTTTTTTACACCGATTTTGAGAATCACTGCCTATAACATTTTCTGACATTTAGAAATTGCCATCAATATTCTTCATTCTTATCATCAATAATAAGCACTACCTATGTTAAAATCTTAAACATTTAGCAATATGTGCTTTAGAACTAATATCTTATAGGGCATTGAATTACCTCTTATGAAATTTGTACTTGGTTATCTCTGCATAATTCTATTTTCCTGCATACCTGCCACCCAAAAGAAAGTGCTATCAGGATTAAGTGGTCTTATTTTCATGTCAACATACAATGTCCATACAGATTTCTGTTTCCATAGGCAGTTCTCTTCAACGTTCACCTCTACAGTACCTGAATCTTATCTAGGTAGTGTACAACACTACATCCGTGGTCCCTCAAATGTACAGTATACACCTATAGGTTCACTTAAGTCTCTCTGAAGTATGTTTTTACTGATGCTATTGCATTACCTAAAGGAGAAACATAATTTAATAAGTGAATTGGGACAATCTTTTCAAAATCCTGTCTCATGCAAATAATAAATTCTACATAATACGTGGGCATGAATTGGTAACTTGAATTTCAGTAATTGATACATGTTGTATTTTACTATTAATAACCTATGTTGGTTTTCTCAATAAAAATGAGTCCTAATTGATACAACCTATTACAGTTAAATGTGTGCTGTCAGAAATGTTGCTTATGTGTATCTAGTGATAGCCATTTCATGATTATTGGCTAAGAAATTTCATCTTGTATAGGTAGTAATATTTCCATTTGACTCCAGCAGAGGGGACAGTGACCTGGGATAGGAGTAAGCAATATTTAGTTTCCTATTATATGCAGAATGGGTACAAATTTCCCCATCTCTCAGAGCACAGATTGATTATTGAAAACAGGTACCAAAACACCCATGTATAAATCTTGTAAGGGAAATTTGGGACCTAATTAATATTTGGTCATTGTATTATTCTTTTCTAATAAAATTTTTCATTTTTAATGGAAATAGCAGGTTTATTGATGAAGAAAATTGTCAAAAGTCAGTGACTCCAAAGTGTGAATCAGCTCAGACATAAAGATTATTTGTCCATTTCTCTTTCTCCTTTTTTTAATACCCACAAATAACCCCACAATTGCATTTGAAACATTGAATAATGTAGATGTTGGTAAATAACAATTTAAAGTTCGTGTGTTCAAGATACAGGCACAAAGAAGAGCTATTGTTCTTGGTTTTCTCTCAGAGTTATTTCTTGTGTCTTATTCTGTTGGAAATTCCTGAAAGGAAAGAAAGTGCAGACAGGAAATCACCAGGAGTGTTGATGGCATATTGTGACCGATTTTTGTGAACCAAGGAAGAGTCTAATAAATGTTTAACATAGTTTTGTCTTGCTTTTGATGATTTCTTTGTGGAAAACTGAAGAATTAGGAATGAAAGGGAATTGGCATACCTCTCCAAACAGCATGGCTTATATTTGTACGAGGACAAAATGAGATGTCCTGTTTCAGAAACAGGGAAATAGTCACTACAAATAACAGGATATTATAGTTGAATGATATGCAGATTAACCCTATCATTAAAAAGTATCAATAGCTAAATTGTACATTCTTATTTGTACATTTATCAAATAACAGTCATCCAAGGTACATCCACATCTATTTAATCATTCTTCAGTGTGTCAATGCTGAGTTTCAGAGATGATAAGTACCTGTCCTGTTCTGCATTGGAGGATCCAATACAAGGGGGACTGACAGATTCGAACATTAATTGCTGGGCTCTGGGTCTGATACACGGAACTTTTCATTGTTTACCAGACATTGTAAAGTTTCAAGCAGATATCCAGAGATCTAAACCATAGGAGTCCCTGTGGTATATTTTTAAACTCTGGTCAATTTCCTGAGTAGGAAGAAAATCAACAGTAATCTCTATGACAACTTTTGAGATGGAGTGGATAGATTACAAGATGGCAGAAAGATTTGGACAGCTGCAAGGATATCCCAGAGAGGAGCGAGAGGAAAATCTGTGCTGCTTGGTCATGTGCTGTTCTTTCTGTGATCTTTGCCTGTGATCCTGACATGTCCTTCCCATACTTGATGGAACAGGGTGGATGTCCCCTACTGCTGTCCTCTGTGACTGATCAGAAACCCCGAAATGTAAACCCCACAGAGAACAAGGGGTGTCTTCCTGAAGTGACAGAGAAGAGGAAGGTCCTCTTAGGTTGTTAAGGGGAAATCCTCCCAGAATATCCTAGCATTAATGCCCTGGTCTGTGTTCAGGCAGACCAATCCAACCCTCTTCCTTCTTTTCTAACAATCTGAGAGTTGTTACCTCACAATGCTGTATCCTGGTGCTGTATGTAACTAAAAAGAATAAATTTTTTTAAATGCTGTCATTCCTCTTTCTGTGGAAATAGTGTGTGTACTTATGGCTTGGGGCCAA